ATTTGCTTACCCATCGGGATCTATGACACCTATGTCGCGACTCCAGAACCACCCACCTCGAAAAGCGGCCTCGGTGGCTTCCTTGTCCTTGAAGTAACCCCTCATGACGGTGTTTCCACGGAGAATGATCTCACCCACGTCTTTCCGTCGTGTGGGACGGGTTTCATGGTGGTTGGATCCACCACATCGATGGCCTCCATGGCGAAATGAGACCTTGTCTTGCCTTTAGCCTCAAACTCTCTTCCTCACGTAGAGTTTCCCACTCAGGCATCCACAAACATGTCGTTCCTGCTCCATACACTTCTGTGCACCCGAAAGCTGCCATTACTTTGAATCCTAGCTTCTCGAGTCTCAAAATTATCTTCCAAAAATATCATTATCATATACTATCAGTAATACGTTTAGGGAAAAGTCTCTATTTCCCTTGATTATATGTAAAATATATAAGATTTATATACTCGTTATATAACCAGGCCAAAAGGTATCTATATAACCAAATTTTGTTTGTTGATGTTGTATTGCAATGGAGCTAGTTAATGTTGTACGTATTCCAATGGAGCTACCTTAAAAACTCGAACCAAAAAAATCAGATTGAATACCTACAAAATATTAGTTTTACCTCAGGAGGCGGTGAGGAATGACTTCTTGACCAAGTCTCGCGCATTGGCGATCATGTTGAGAAGAGCAGGCGAGCCACCAAAGTGAGTTACCTTGCGTTTCACGACATTATCGAATATAACTTCATCGTTAACTTCCCTGAGACATACATTAACTCCTCCAAAAGCCGCAACTGTCCAAACAGAGCACCAACCGCTACAATGGTACATCGGAACGGTCCACAGATAAACCGGCATTGGTTTCATCTCACTGATAACACCAACCGCGGTTGCGTTCAGATACGTACCGCGGTGGCTGTATACAACGCATTTGGGGGTCGAGGTAATTCCAGATGTAAAATTAAGCGCGATTGGATCGCATTCATCAACGGGTCGCACAACTTCGAAGTTAGGGTTTCCGGAAGTGAGAAATTCCTCGTACTGTAAGTGTTTTGATTTCTCTGTTGGACTTTCTGTGATTGTGATGATGAGAGGTTGTTCCTCGGTGGTAATGTTTGAGAGAAGATTGAGAGATTCTTCAGCGATAGAGAGGAATTCGGAGTCAACGAAGAAGACTTTTGGCTTTGTTTTCTCGATTGCCATCGCAAGCATTTGAGAATCGTAATGCGTGTTCAATACGCAAAGTACGGTTCCAGCCATTGGAGCTCCAAAATGCAGCTCACATAACGCAGGAACATTTGGCGCCAAAGCAACAACCTGATTAATATTTTAAAAACCATTTAATAAGTAAGAATATTTGAACATTGTG